GGTAGAATGTATTTAATACCTTTAGTTACTTTGTCAGATGTGGATGAATGATGTGAAATATAATCAAGTGTTAAATCAGACTTTAGTTCCACCTGGAGTAAATCCACAAGCTACCCTGCAGTATACAAAGTCATTCAAATTAGCTGCACCTTTACCAGCTTTGAGAACACTTTAATGATCAATCATTATAAAACATATCATATCTATTATTCTGAAATGGACAAATCTGCACAATGACTACTTTTACTGTCGCTACTTTCACTATATTTTGATGAGAATACTTTTCTACTTTTACTAAAGGAACATTTTGAATGCAGGACTTTTACTGTAACAGAGTACTCAGGTACAAGATCTGAGTACTTCTACTTTTACTCAAGTGCAAGATCTGAGTACTTCTACTTTTACTCAAGTGCAAGATCTGAGTACTTCTACTTTTACTCAAGTACAAGATCTGAATACTTCTACTTTTACTCAGGTACAAGATCTGAGTACTTCTACTTTTACTCAAGTGCAAGATCTGAGTACTTCTACTTTTACTCAAGTACAAGATCTGAGTACTTCTACTTTTACTCAAGTACAAGATCTGAGTAAAATACTGTCTTTTTGTCGAAACTGCTGGATTCTGAATTTAAATAGTTATATCATCTTCTTCCTGATATGTAAACACAGTATAGATCCACCTTTTTGGGATGAAGATGAAAAAAAAAAACATTTGCCTGCAACCTGCTGTCCACAAACATCGCTCCAATCCTTCTCCCTGTAATACAAATAGACATACAGCTGAACCAACCAGACTCCACCATCTCCCCGATCTCCACCAATCAGGGAGCGTTTAGGCTTAAGTGGGCGGGAACACCACAGAAGCGACTGGCAGTGTCAGCAGCCATTGATGCGCTTTATCTCCAGGAGGACATATCGACATTAATTCTTGTTAATTTGCTGTTTTCTGCGGACAGGAGCCATGGTGTCTCACTCTCTCGCGCTGCCGATGATCTGCTTCACCACGTTATGGGCGCTCGTGGGGGTCGTGGCTCCGTTTCTGGTGCCCAAAGGACCGAACCGGGGGTGGGTGGTCGAGCTGCCGTTCATTTGATGCAATTAACACCGACTAATAATGAGCGTTTTCTTTCATTATATACACACATATTTCATTTAAGATATTAGGAGTTTTTATTAGGATTCAAAATCAATGTTATCTTTGCATTAAGCTGCATGGCATCTTTATGAATACAGACAGTATGTGATGGAGGCCCTGCGCGTCATCCTGCATCCCATCATCCTCTCCTTCCACACAGTAAGGTTAAAGGGTCAATTCAGGGATAAATAAGCATCACAACATAATTTAGGGGGACATATTAAAAGAAAAATGTGTTATTGTTGAGGTTTAATATTGAACAAGTCAGAATTGTGAGGCTTGGTATATGTGTAAATAGCAGTGAGGTTGAAGCGGTTCACAAGCTATATGCAATCAAGCTAAGTGCTTTTTGTTCATTAATTCATCAGAAATGCTTCAACACTACTAAAGTATTCGATTTGATTTGATTTATTTCGAATGTGTAAAACAATAATACAACAAAATAATAATTAAATGAAACATGAGAATTATTGTATACAAACTAAAGCAGTGTCAAATTGATTAACAAAAATATTACTGACTTACAAATGATATATGAACAAATTACACATCCGAAAAGTAGACACATGATATAATGATAACATATATTCTTCTGTAAGCATTTCTGTTTTTTTAAATGACATGTATACATATTTTACCTAACTTTATTTATCTAGACACCCTTTGCATTATTTAATTAAACATTGGAAGAGAGGAAGGGGTGCTATGGATGCATGCCATGGGTTTCTCTTCCATTTCACTTATAATAACTATTTATAAATGTATGATACTAACCAATAAAATGTATTCAATTCTACAATTATCTTCATGTGTTTTGTTGCATTTTATATATTTTAATTTGGACTGCACCTGCTAAATGTCTTGTTAAAAAAATCATATTTGATAAAAAAAAGGTGTGTTTTAAGTTTTAAATGGCTCAAAAGACTTTAGTGAACATCTTCATTCATATAGAACAGGGGTGTCAAACTCAAGGCCCGGGGGCCAAATCCGTCCCGTGACTTCACTTCATGTGGCCCCACAAGAGCTTGCAAAAAATATAATGTGTTTATTATGGTTACATGCCGATTTACAGAAGCACGTTGCCTACAGTATGAACTACATTTCCCACAATGCATCTGAAATTGGACTTTTTCCTCAGAATTTGACTCTTCTTTCAAAATATTACTTTTTTTCAAAATGTCACTTCTTTTTTTGGATTTTGACTTTCTTTCCAGAATGTGGCTTTTCTTTTTAAATCATTTTGTGACATGCGCACTGAAGAGACTTGCAATTATTTGCCCTAAGCTTCTGCTTTCAGGCGTAGTTAATTATGAAGTTATTACCCTATCGAATAATAATCCAATGCAGAGGAAATAATGTAATATAATACTTTATTTTATATATATTATATATTTATATATGTATATTTATATAGTTACAACCGGCCCTTTGAGTGCAACCATAATGCTGATGAGGCCCGCGATGCAATTGAGTTTGACAGCCCTGATATAGACCCAATAACTGTAAGGTACCTGAAAGCATCATTACATTAACAGTGAGTGTCACATGACTGTGCACAGAGCTGCAGATATGTAACCCCCCCCTCTCTGTTTTCTTTGCAGTGTGATTGTCACCAGTCTCATCCTCACAGCCGTCTGCTGTTACCTGTTGTAAGTAAACACTCTTCTTCTTCTATGGTGTGAAGCGGCTGTCATTTTGCATGTTGCATGAGACTCTGCTATATTCACATACAGCTCTGATTACAATGAAACCTTAAAGAGGTCCTGTTCTGCTTTTTGGGGTTTTCCCTTTCCTGTAGTATGTTAAACGCCTCCATTCATCTCCTTTGTTTACTTTATTAACATTGTGACATCACTATGTAACACTCGCGCTCCTATTGGCTAGCGCTCCAACACATTGTACGTTATAGGCTAAGAGGCGGGACATCTCTAAGCGGTTGACCAATCACAACAGAGCCGGCCAGCTAACCAATTAGAGCAGACTGGGCTCTGGTTTCAGACAGAGGGTGAAAAGAAGTGCTGCAGCACAGGCAGGATGAGAACAATAAAGAGCTTTTTGAACTTTAAAGCATGGAGACATGTCCCAGTAGAGACACTACATACTAACATACACCTGAGCATCAGCAGGAGAGGACTCTTTAAAGTAGAGACACTACATACTGATATACACCTGAACATCAGCAGGAGAGGACTCTTTAAAGTAGAGACACTACATACTGATATACACCTGAACATCAGCAGGAGAGGACTCTTTAAAGTAGAGACACTACATACTGATATACACCTGAACATCAGCAGGAGAGGACTCTTTAAAGTAGAGACACTACATACTGATATACACCTGAACATCAGCAGGAGAGGACTCTTTAAAGTAGAGACACTACATACTGATATACACCTGAACATCAGCAGGAGAGGACTCTTTAAAGACACTACATACTGATATACACCTGAACATCAGCAGGAGAGGACTCTTTAAAGTAGAGACACTACATACTGATATACACCTGAACATCAGCAGGAGAGGACTCTTTAAAGTAGAGACACTACATACTGATATACACCTGAACATCAGCAGGAGAGGACTCTTTAAAGTAGAGACACTACATACTGATATACACCTGAAAATCAGCAGGAGAGGACTCTTTAAAGTAGAGACACTACCTACTGA